ACTTCTCTTCTAACAAACATATTCATGAAAGATAAAGAAGAGAAAGAAAAGAATTGATAATTCTCACATCTCTGAGTTTATATTACAATCACAATGCATATTCTGAATGAGAAGATATCAGTGAGATGTCTACTCAACTTCAGAGTGAATATTAACTTCATATTCTATTTCTTTTCTTTGATGAAGAATTGAAAGAAGATAGATCTGTCAGATCATGCAAAATTTACAGATGAAATGAAATGTCACTGTTTTGACATAATTCAAGCAAAGTGTGTGATCATAGACTCAGAAGAAATCTTTAAGAAGAGCAGTCTGCTTCTTCACACAGTCAATATCATAGATGAGAATATCATTCTAGATCTTCTATAATTGAGAGAAAACAATTCTCTCATTGACTGAGTCACTCAGACATGACAGTATTATCTCACTGATAAAGAGACAGTGATAGAGAAATCTGAAGAGTTTCATCAAAAGAATCTTGAGAAAAAGATTGAGTCAATATACTGTGTAGCAGGTGATTGAGACTTGAGAATAGATGAAGAAGTCATCATTCTCACTGCAAGATTAGCAGCAGTATCTGTTATTGAAGACAGATGTACACAACATCTCTTTACAGATTTTAAGAATGTCTTTTCAGAAAAGGAAGCAGCAAAGTTTCCTGACATCAAGATATAATATAAGATTTATCTTGAAGACAGTGCAACAGTGCTGTACAGATCTCTTTATAACTTGTCTGTAAAGAAGTTGAATGTTCTGTGCAAATATCTTGAAGAAGTGTAATCAAAGAACTGAATATATTCATCAAAGAGTCTGACAGAGATGTCTATACTCTTTGTGCTTAAGAAGAATAGTAGGCTACATCTATGCATAGACTACAGAGGTCTTAATAAGATGACAGTTAAGAATTGCTATTCATTACTGTTAATTAACAAGATAATTGATTGATTATCTGAAGTAAAAGTGTTCTTGAAGATTGATATACAGAATGTCTATCATAGAATCAGAGTTAACAAAGACAATGTTTGAAAAACAGCTTTTCATATCAAGTATGATAATTTTGAATATCTTGTTTTATCTTTTAATCTTTGTAACACTTCAGCTATCTTTCAGGCCTATATAAATGAGACACTGCAGAGCCTTGTTGATGTCTTCTATATAGTATATCTGAATGACATTTTAATCTTCTCAAAATCAGAGAAAGAACATGATACTCATGTTCAAGAAGTATTGAGTTACTTGAGACAGTATTAACTCTATATAAACATCAAAAAATGCTCATTCTACATGCAGAAGATTGATTTCTTAGATTATATTGTTGAGATGAATGATATTTCAATGAATAGAAGCCAGGTCTTCATCATTGAGAACTGGCCAGTACTGCAGACATACTGTAAGATACAGATGTTTCTAGAATTTGCAAATTTCTACAGATAATTCATCTATACATATTTACAGATTACTGCCTCTCTTACAGATCTGTTGAAGAGAAGTGTGAAAGACAGAAAAACAGAATCATTTACTCTCACTCAAGACATCATGCAGGTATTTGCAGAATTGAAACAAGCTTTCACAGATATCACAATACTGAATCATTTTAACTCTGACTTACTCAGTCAGTGTGAGACTGATGTATCTGAGAATGAGATCTGTGAAATCTTTTCACAGTTGACACTGAAGATCTTTCAACATTGAAAGAATTAGAGAATAATTATCTCTGAGAAAACAGGCAATGAATTGTCTGTGAGAGAAGACTTTTTCACAGAGTCTATAAGATGCTGTGAATAAAGATCAGTGATCTTCTTCTTCAAGAAGTTATCACTCATATAGAGAAGATATAATACTCATGATCAGAAGATGTTAGTAATTGTCAAATTCTTTAAGATCTGATAACATTATCTTCAGAGTAGTAAGTACTCAGTGCAAGTTCTCACTGATTATATAAATCTGCATTACTTCTTGACAATAAAGAGCTTGATAGAATGTCAAGTCAGATGAGCAGAGCTGCTTTTGAAGTATGATTTCTATATCTGATACTGTTCAGATCAGCTTAACTCTGTCAATACACTGTCTAGATAACCTGATTATAATATTATTGATACAGAGAAGAATTCTATAAAAGAATCTCTGCTATCACTGCAGAAGAAGCTGACTGCAGAGAATTGAGATTCTCTAAAGCTTAGAAACAGCACTGAAGAGGCAGCTGTGTGACTCAGTATAGAAGATGAAAGAGAACTCAGATTCTTATGAGAGACTGACACTGAAGATCATAAGCTTCTCATGTCATATCTTACAATCATTGAATTGATAAAGAATGAAATAGTCTATAATCTTTCAACTTAACTACTTTTGAAATTCATTAATAAGTTACAGAAGAGAGATACCTCTACTGCAGCTTAAATTCAAAAGTTGAAGAAGAAAGAATTCAGTTTGAACTTGAAAGAGACAGGCTCTGAGCAGAGTGATACTGCTAAGAAATCAAGTCACTGATAACTAGAAGAATGTGAACTTCTACTACTGAATGATTCAGTCTTCATTTCTCATAGCAGAGCAGTGTGTCAGAAGTTATTGAGAATTCATTATAATAATTCTCATACAGAGCACTTCAGGTTAGAGAAGACTAAGAAGCTTCTAAAATATAAATATACTTAAGACAAGCTCTGAGCAGATGTTAAAGAGTATATTGAAACTTATAATATCTATCAAAGAATAAAGATCTTATGATATAAGTAATACAGTGAGTTGACATCACTGCCTATTTCAAAGAGCTTATGATAGAATTTATCAATAAATTTCATAGTTGACCTGCTGAAGTCAACAAGAGTCAAAGAATATGACTCAATTTTAGTCATTGTTAACTGCTTTACAAAGATGATCAGATATATTTCTACTTATAAAAAGATTAAAGCCTCTGAATTGACTGATCTGTTTTTAGATATCATCATTCATGATCACAGTACTCTGAAATTGTTGATAACAGATCAAGAATCTCTCTTCATCAGTAAATACTGATCAGCTTTTTACTATCATCTTATGATAAGATGTCTTCTCAGTACTGCATTTCATTCACAGACTGATAATCAGACTGAATATCAGAATCAGATACTAGAACAGCATCTTCAAGTGTTCTGTTCATATTATTAGAATAATTGACTTAAACATCTTCTAACTGCTGAATTCATATATAACAATGTAAAGAATGCAATCTTAAAGATATCTTTTTTCTATACTTGTTATAAATATAATTCTTCATTATTCAGTGACATTGCAGACAATATTTCAAAGAGAGAAATAGACAGTCAGAATATTAAACAGATACAGAGAATGAAGTATTTCTCAGTATCAGAAATAAAAGTGAGATTGAAACTTTTGAATAAAATTCATAAGAAGACAGTGAAAAGTATTTACTACACTCAGAAGTAGTAGATGAAATACTATAATTAAAAACATCTTTTAATGAAGTTCTTAATAGAGAATCAAGTGCTACTTTCAGCAAAGAATATCAAGATAATAAGACTGTGTAAGAAGCTCAGTGAGCAGTGACTAGAATCTTTCTCAGTAATAAGAGTAGTAAGTAAGCAGATATATGAGTTGAAATTACTCACAGAATTGAAATTAATTCATTCTATTTTTCACATTTTCTATTTGAAGCTCTATAAGCAATGTCTCAGAGCAGAGCTGTCTCAGTCAGATGATATCAAGATTAAGAGTGATACTGAATATCTTATGAAGAAAATATTAAATAAACAAACATATTACAGCAAGCTTTAATATCTTATCAAATGAAAAGAATATTTATTATCAGAGAATTCATGAGAATCACTTAAGCATTTGAAAAATACTGAGAAAGAGATTGTAAGCTATGAGACAGCTAGTAGAGATTACTCTGTTATATATCAGAGACATTGAGTAAGAAATATTATTTAAAGACTTCTTATTTTTCTCAAAGAATTTTTTAGAGATGATCTCACAGTGATGAGCTGATATCTTATAGACTTTATAACACTCTTCTTCTATTTTCTCTCAAAGGATTTTTTAGAAGTTTAATAAGACTATACAAGTGTAAAATTCCTGAAGCAGTTAATAAGAAAAGAAAGAAATATTTAAAATTAATAAAAAGATTAATATTAATTGATCTACAGACTACTGCTAATCTAATGAGACTACAGCCTGCTGAAAAAGTAAAAAGAGAGAATCTCAGAGTCTACTTACTAATAATCACACTCTTATCAAACTCATTCTTTACTATTAAAGTCTCTGACACTGATATCTTTATCTGCTGAGAAGTTAGTACTGCAGTGCTGTAGAAGAGTAGAAGAAATGTATGAAATATTAACTTATCAACTTATAAAGCATCTCAGTCATCTGCTTCAATTGAAGTGAGATTCTCTTTAATCAGTGATTAATCTCTACAGCACTTTTAATAGCAGTACTGACTGATCTCTTCTTGAGATCAGTTATTCTGAGATATTTTTTTATCTCAGAAACTCATACTTTCATCTTCTTTTACAGATGAGTAAGAGAGATCTTCTCAGTCTTGATAAAATTCATTAATATTTGAAGCTCTGAGATTCTCACTCTGTACTGCTTGAACATCTAGACTTCTTATCAGAATCAACACAATATCTTTCTATGAGATAATACTTACAGAGAGACAGAAGTTATTATTACAGATATAATGAAAATAACAGAAGTGAGAGAAGAGATAAGTGTATAAAATCCTCTTCTTCTTCAGCTGCTTAATGCAGTACAGACAAGTAGTGATATCAGTCAGAGACTGTATCAGAGCCTCTTCACAGAGAGAAGATAAAGAAACTGTGAAACTCTGCAGACTCAACTCAGCAGTATTCTGAGCAGAGCTCAGGCATACTGTGAAAGAGAAACTACAGATTGAGCTTCTCAGAGTCACTGTCTCTGAAATCAAGCTCTCTTCAGGTTTCTCTCTGAATGATCACACAGGGTTATACATCACTGTATTAACTGAAGAGAGAGGTGGTGTTACAATGATGATGAGAGAGACAGAGAATGAACTGGACACAGACACATCAGCTGGCAGAAGAGATGACATCTCACTGCAGAGCATGACAACTTTCACTACAGCTGTAAGAGAAGCAGGAGAAGATGTGATGATGAGAGCAGTGCTTCTGCAGCTTATTGACACTGTCATCTTTAACCTGGCTTTCTTAGCAGTCATGAAGACCACTGCTGCACTATGAAGATGTTTGTTATTCACTAGAAAATGTCAGAATAAGCTCTTGATTGTTCTTCAAGAATGATACTCTCATACACTCACTGTTGTGATTGAAAAGAGAGAAAAGAAAAATGTTTCACAGAGAGAGAGATCTTTTTGAAAAATCCTGTCACTACTGTTAGCTTTGTCTCTAAAAACATATCACTTTTATAGAGAATTTCATATATAGAACAGAATATGTTGAAAGATCTGTAAGTCACTTATTAATTACATTTTTCATCTTTCAAATCAATATATAAGGAACTCACTTATAATGTGTTTGATTTGAATGAAGATGAGAAAAGAAAGACCTACACAGTTAGCAGAAAAACTCATCTATTTCTTTATATCACACACAGTATATATGCTGTTAATTGATTGACAATCATTGCTATACAACAAAGATAATTCCTAATCTGATAATCTTGAGAATATAGAGACTATGCTCTTAAAGAGGAGGGTATTGTCACACTCTCAGCCGCATCAAGGCCCTGCTGTGGTTTCACACAGCCCATCACTTTCATGCAGATGATTTCATCCATCCTGCAGGCCATCTGAACTGGTTTCCAACCACCCTATGACATCATTCAGATATATCATAGGAAGATCTGATTGATGAATATGAGAACCTCACTTCTATACAAGGTCAGCAGATTACTCTTCCTTGACAATGAGGCGCCGCTGAGGTATCACTCCAGCTATCCTCACCTGTGGAATGAGAGGAGAGTATCCGCTCATTGTCTATATAGAATAGCTAGATGCTGGCTCCTCATCAAAGAAGTCAGTGATTCATTTCTTTTCTCCTACAGGAATAATATACACAAGAGTTACTGCGTGCCTCATACAATCTTCTTAGTATACTAAGTACCATATCTGTGATATCCTCACAATAACCCTGTAGCCTACGAGCTCGCTATTCAAGCAAGATAGTCAAGCCCACTTATACAGCTTCCCAAACAACTACTTCTACATGACACCGCCGACTAGCCACCGCTTCGGTTCCGCCATGTTACAGTAATTAATAAGTTCTCTGAAACTTCTTTTATAAAGATTATTTATAATTTAGATAACTACTTCTGAGTGTCTGTAGTAGAGTTCACAGAGATTGAAGTATATAAGTTTCTAGTTCTTTCAGTCATAACAGACAGTTACTGACTGACTGAGCTTGAAATGTAAGAATAAGTGCTTACAGATGATTATTCAAGTGTTTGTAGCTTGACATGATATATACTGTTAACTACTAGAAGTATTCACAGTAGAAAGATAAAATATAGAGATCAAATGTATAATAGCATTCAAGCTGAGTTGTGAATAGTATTCATGAACTCCAGTCTATATAGTTGTGTGTAGCCAAGGGCCGCTAGCCCTATTGGTTACGTGAGAGATAGGAATAGGGGTAAAGGATCCGCGAGGAGCGGGATTTCTTACATTTCTCTTGTTCAGTGAATATACATAGTATCACACACACTCAGTCATACAATAATAAAATAAAACTGTTTTCCATTAGAGTGAAAAAAAGAAAAAAAAAAAAACTATTCAAAGCGGGAGAATCGTACCCTACTTAGGGGGTTCTGACAGGATATCCTGTGAAGACGGGTACCTGCATTTGTACTAAGCTTCTTGTTCCATTCGCTATCAAAAATGAAAAAGCATATCAATCACCCGCGATGTGCACCCCTATTTTCCGCCGTTTCGGAAATCATGCCATCGTCCTCTGTCACTCCACGAGCATACGGAGGGTACTGATGGAGAAATTGTTGCTGTCAGGGAACTCTTCCACACAGGGTTGTCCCCCAGAGCATACCCAGGTCATATAGATCTGTAACTATCTTATCAAGATTTTCAAATGAACTAAGTATAAATTAAGTCAATGAAAACCACAAGGGCATTTTTTACCTAAAACATATGACTATGAAAAGGTTGAACAATAGGATCCCGAGGGCAAATGCCCAACAATCAAACTGGGCCTTGCAGATGAGATGAGCGAGATATGTGCCTGGGTATATTATCACTATTCTATTTCGATGCAAGCAAAAGTATTGAAATAATAATACGTGTGGAATCCTATTTTCACTCCCTATGGTATGTACAGTATATTGTAAAGCGGATCAACGTGTTAAATCCTACAAATATAAAAAGCCTCAGATGAGTGAATCCACCTCAAGAATTACTCCTTTTTAATGTAGTGGTTAAACCTCCATGTTATTTGATCCATAGCCAGGCACCGCAATAGTAACAAATAGTAACATGCAGAACCGTACTCGTCACTCGCTAAGCATAAGTGTCCGATTTTGTGTTCGACCATACTTCAGGCGTGGGTCGCAGTAGACGATCGAACCCCATCCATGGGGCGTTGATGGGACTAGGCCCTGTATACAGCAGGACGTCATATAGGAATCCTCCCAGCGTACATCCAATGAATGGTGCAACCATTGGGACCTGGAAATATATAGTTAGCTCTGGTAGAGCATATGGAGGAAGATAGAAATATGAAAGAGGGCTTGATAATGATTGAAACGACCGCTCGTAAGCGCATGAAAGGATTGCATACCCAAAAGTAATAATTCCCAGCAGACCATACTTCATGGCCGTATCCTACAATATAAGACATCAAGCGAGGCCCAAAATCTCGCGCAAGATTGATCGCATATCCTGTTTCCCAACCAAAACATGCGCCAATGCCAAATATCACGAAAAACAATCCCAATGGCGTGAGGTTGCGGGCACCGTTATTATCATTGTCGAGCAAAGCAAAAATGCAGAACATCAGGATCGCGCTGGCGATGACTTCCGAGAAAACCTGGCCTGTTTTGTTCAGGAAGTCGACTGGATATGTACAGAAGATTCCCGCAGTGGATGTTTCGAGGCCCACGGTGCGAATACCAACGCCTCCTTCGAAGACGTCAATGGCGGACATGTAATTCGCATAAACCACCCCAGAGGCAACGAACCCACCCAGGGTCTGGGCGAGCACATAGATGGGGAACTTTCTCCAGGGGAATTTACGAAATATGCAGTTTGCAAGGGTGACGGCCGGGTTTAGATGCGCCCCTGATATACCTGAGCAGTAGACGCCGAGCATCACACCAAGGCTATCAATTATGTCAACTAATGTTTATATTCAATTTATCTCTTATATTTCCCTTTTCTTTCATATTCTCGGTAATTGGAGCGGGATAGAGGAAATGCAAGTATATACTGACCCCCAGCCCCAGCTAATTGACTGATAATCGCCGTTCTTTCTATTACTTAGAATAACCTGGGCCACCGATCCATCTCCAAAAAGAACGATCATAAAGACGCCAACAAACTCAGAAAATGGCTCTCGTAGCTTATATCGAATCCGACACCAGAGAGGTTCTTGAGCCTGCGTTATGGTAACGTGGCTTTCTTCACCCAGAATTAATTTATCCTGGCTATAGGACCCGTTATGGACTTCCCCAGAGTACGCGCCTTTCTCCACCACCTGAGTAGGAGCCGGGGAATGACTTGGAGATACTGATGCCATTGTGATATCCCGCGGAAGGGTTTATTATGGAGTAGCTATGCGGACCCAAAAGTAAAAGAGGGTACCCCGATCGATATTTGTGGAGGTTTCGACTGTCCTTGTGTTTTCCCCACAGGGTGGAGTAGAATACTTATAGAAAACCAAGCGTGCATGGGTTGGCCATGCGGGATATCATTGTTCTCAAAGCTTTCGAATGAACTGAACAGCAAAGACAGCCTAGTCTAGCCAACGTTCAATTAAAGACCCATTCTACCGACCTGCTGTGACACAACTACTTTTCTGACATGGCCACTCTCGAAGCTTTGGGCCGCTATCGTATCACAAAGCCAGCTTCATTCTCGCAATGACCCCGGTCTGACCGGCAATCTGCTGAATCAGGTCGATTTGTTATCTCCCTCTAGAAGCAGACGTAGGATCCAGTGCATGCGGCGGGTTCTACACGGCGAGCTATCGGCCTTGCAAGACAGAACATAGGAAACCACCGGAGGGCCTGTTCGCAAGCTCACTTCAAGTAGCGTGTAACTCCGTGGCCACGGTGGTGTACTTTTAATTTTCATCTCTTGCTTCACGGAGGAACTGGGCAGCCGTTTGGCTAGACTCGGACCATGTCAGCGACATACGCAAGCGCAGAGGGTGTTGTATTGGTGAGCAGTTTTCCCGGATAACAGGGGCTGAGACTACTAGCCGCAGCACGGATCCTCATTCCCCGATGCTACGCTGTACGACACCGAAACAAGAACATGATAGAGGGGACTCTGAGAAATTTCCTGCGTATGAAGTGAAGTCGGCCTGGAGGTGATGTCTTCGCAGGCGTCAACAGGGGAAAGATTTAGCTTCGGGGCTAGTTCGATAGTGGCGGGCAGTTGATTGACATAGTTACATAACTAACTACGCTGTAATTAACTATTTATTTACTACTCCGTACTATGCGTACCGACTCCGAGCTTTTACCCCACGCGTGAACTATGCTTGACAACCTCCGCCAGAAGCCAATTTTAGTGCGTAACTTAGTGAGGGGGAGAACAGCTTAGGTCGGTTTTGCAAGGCCTGGCTGGTATGGATGGGAAAGCATGTCCTCCTGATGTTGCTGCAGGTAGTACAAATAGCAGCCTTCATCAGCCGTCGTATGGAAAGGCCTCGAGAAAGCTTTATCGCAGTTCTCTGGCTTTGCAAAGCTTTCGCAAAGCAAAAATTCCTCATACCTAGATAGCAACCGCCATTACCGGTAATCAAATCAATTTTCTCGCTGGTAATTAGAATGGGTAGTGTTGGGCAAACGTTTGTGGGCTCCATCGACCAAGGGACGACCAGCTCGAGGTTTCTCATTTTTAACCCAGCGGGAGATGTTGTTGTGTCACACCAGCTGGAATTCCGGCAGATATATCCTCAGCCTGGGTCAGTATACATAACCACAAGGGAAAAATGTTTATTTGCTATATTTATTCTCAGTTGAAAGAACAGTGAGACTGATAAACAATTTCACAGCTGGCACGAACACGACCCCTTGGAAATAGTGTCATCCGTTGAGAAATGTATAGACGGGGCTGTGGCTTCATTTGAAAGTCAGGGCCACAGCATCAAGACCATAAAAGCCGTTGGCATTACGAACCAGCGAGAAACAACTGTTGTATGGGACAGAGAAACCGGGGAACCGCTCTACAACGCGATTGTATGGACAGACACTCGCACCCAAGCGCTTGTTCGCAAGCTGAAGAAACGCCTTGAAGCCAATGACCTGCAAGCTCTCTGTGGACTTCCCTTGTCGACCTACCCATCTGTTGGCAAGCTACTCTGGATTATCGAGAATGTACCCAAGGCCAAAGAAGCCTATGAAAAGGGAACGCTTGCCTTTGGAACTGTTGACACATGGCTCGTCTACAAGCTCAACGGCGGAACCGAGAAAAATATCTATGTCACCGATCCTTCAAATGCATCACGAACAATGTTTATGAACATCAAAACACTTCAGTATGATGAACAGCTCATCGAGTTTTTCCGCCTAGATCGCGACAAAGTCCATCTTGCCAAAATAATCCACTCCTCAGACCCAGAGGGATACGGCTCCCTAGCATCCACTGTCCTCAAGGGCTTTCCGATCACAGGCTGCCTAGGCGATCAATCTGCTGCACTTGTTGGACAAAAGGGATTCACTCCTGGCCTCGCGAAAAACACCTATGGCACAGGGTGCTTCCTGTTATACAACATAGGAGAAACCCCTGTCATATCCAAACACGGCCTCCTCACAACCGTCGCCTTTGACTTCAATGGAAAAGTTATGTATGCACTTGAAGGGAGCATTGCTGTTGGCGGGTCCAGTGTTAAATTCTTAGTGAACAACTTTGGCTTCATTGACAATTCTAGTGATATTAGTGCGCTGGCAGAAACCGTGGAGGACAATGGTGGCCTGGTGTTTGTAACAGCCTTTAGTGGATTGTTTGCGCCCTACTGGGTGGATGACGCGCGTGGGACTATGTTTGGAATCACCACATTCACAAATCGTGGGCATGTGGCTCGCGCGACGCTTGAGGCGACCTGTTTCCAGACTAAGGCCATCCTTGATGCCATGGAGAAGGATAGCGGGCAGAAATTGACAGAGCTGGCGGTGGATGGAGGTATGTGTAATAGTGATTTGACAATGCAGGTAAGTAATATAATTCCGTCCCCCCACCCCCACCCCTCCTGGTATTCTGGTTCAATAATATGTCATATATCCATAAAAATAGACACAATCCGATATCATTTCTATTCCGGTGTATCGACCGGCAATGCGCGAAACCACAGCTCTGGGTGCGGCCATTGCAGCAGGATTAGCGGTTGGTGTCTGGGAAGGGCTTGAAGAGCTACGGACCGTAAACACTGATGGCCGGACGGTGTTCACACCTGACATCTCCAAGGAAGAGGCTGCCAGCAAGTTCTCGAGATGGGAGAAGGCTGTGCAGATGTGCAAAGGCTGGGCTAACTGAGACCTGTTAACGTATTCCATGGCGCCTTTGGCAAGGTTTGTGACAGGGGTGATGAGTTTTGCCCACTCTCAGCAAGTTCTGTTTTCTTTTCTCTTTTTCTCACCCCCGAGCCGATACGCAGCTTGAGGTAACTTACCACAATGCCAAGTTTTTTTTTTTTTTTTTTTTCTTTTTCATTTTGTGTAAATTCTCAGGGGCTTGATAATCTACCAGCATCTAGTAGTTGCTTCGTCATACTTCTTTCTAATACTTATCAAAAACAATTGCCAGAATAGCCCCACACGTAAGAAACAGTAAAAAACGTAGGGGCAGCAAAACGTGGGACTCCCCAATGCCTTTGCTTATTGATACCGATGCTCAAGCAGGATCCATCACATGCTTATTGTTATTCGCACTCGATGCGCATTGTCAAGGTACGATCCATGGATATTTGCTGTAAGTTTGCAACTGATGAACCTGGTTAGTTCATGCATAATAGCTGAGGATCATGGTGCCGGGATCCCCTAGTTAATTGTTGGATGAGAACGTCGGGTTGGAGTCCGGAGCTTCGGTCTTGGAAGCAGTCTCGGAACAAGTCGAATTCCGAAAATCATAGGGCTAGCTTCTAAGATTGAGCCAAATGGGATCTTGGAATCTCGTTCTTAAGGTTGCTATGAACCGACCAACATCCGTAATATATAAAAATTGCAGGATATGAATTGTGCGGTACATGGACGTCATCCGTACATGTTTCTTCCCTATTTTATTGAGACCCTCGAATATTCCAGAAATCCTAGTATAGTTAATCGCTGCCGATTGGCTCGCAAAGTTTTGCCTCCGTTCTTGCTTAGCGTCCGCACTTGTTTATGCTGCTACATTTTGTGACAAAGAAACCGAAATGGTTCCGATCAACGCCTGCAACCCCACCCCGGGCATAGTCAATAAGCGCAGAGGAGGTGTGGGGTAAAAGGATCGTCCACAACAAGGGAATCTCCCCCACTCTTCTCAATATCAATGAAGTTTTCGGTAGACTGAATGTCTAAAAGAACCAAATACGAAGACCGAGTGGCTTGCAGTTAATAATGTGAGCTGCGTTTAACTATGATAAGTTTACCTAATACCCCAAGAAACGATGAGTTCCGGGCCCATTACCCCTAATCCTGCGGGGGCTGGAAGGCAAGCCAATCGGGGTCTGAGCGAGAATACACGAAGTTTGTGGATACAAAATGGGTTTTCGGCCGCGACCAGTTTTCGACGGGGTTATTGACCGACTGCTCAGACTCAGCACTAGTGGGGGGAAGTGAATGGGGGTGGTTTGCAACTGCCACGGATGTGCGTGGATAGTTGAAGAAATCGAAGACCTCGTAATATTCGAGCTCGTTTGGTGCGGGAACTTTTACGGATGGTGGTTGGAGAGCTGATGCGGATCTTTGGGAGAGGAGAATGCTGAGGTCGTATGCGTTTCTGTGGAGAAATATTAGCTCTGTTCTAATGTGTATAGCTTGGAGGTTTAGAGAAGAATTGTGAGCTCACCGCCGCATATCTATGAGCGACTTAGGACCCAACAATTGGGGAGAATGTGAGGAAGCAGATGTAGATGGAGTCATTGCCACGGCACGTTTGGCTTCTTGACACTCTCGTAATATGCGCTCTAGAATCTGGGCGTACTTCCGTGCGACACCCCAAAACTGTCCCATTTTCTCTAGTGTTGACATGAAAAACCAAATGTTGACATTAATATCGGTATTCGTGACCGAGGCATCAACCAACAACACCCTCGCTGACACCCACAGCGAAAAGGCAAAGTGAGGGCCGAGAAGATCCAGCATCCCCGTATTAACGACATCCTGCACGATCTCCCGCAAACTCTCAACCGCGGCAATACAGCGTTGCATCGCATTAAATGACGGGTAGAAGATATGCGAACGCACTGTTGGGTAGGCAGCGCACGAATGGAGTCGTAAAACGGAAATCACGAAGGCTGCATGGAGCATGATCCAATTAGATATCCTGCTAGTCGGACTTGAATGACAGAGTTGAGAAATCCGACTGTAATCATCTGGTAAATTATAAAGCCACCTGTCAAGCTCGCGGTCAAGTTCACGATATGTAGCTTGCCATCTCTCGACGTCTGCAGGGGAGGCAACATCGATGGGATGGCGCAGGAATTTGTGGATACGGCTTAGAATCCGTAGAACTTCACAATGATAGGAGAAGCTACCCAGATTCTCGGGGTGGTTCACGGTAATCTCCGATCGCTCGGGTCCAATAAACCGCCTGGTTTCAACCGCCTGGTTTTTGGAAAATAAGTCGTACCTGCAAGGTAATGACCGATCTGTTTGCTGTTCATCGAGCGTAAAATCAGATCCCGCATCGACACACGCATATCGATCCAGGATATAAGTCATCCAAAACAGTCGCCTCCGCCCTTCACTTTCAAGCCAGGAGGTTGGTTGAGGCAGGGCGAACTCCTGCAATGTACCGGGCGATTGATAACTAGGGGGACCAAGAGTCACTCCCCGCTCCGTCCCAAGCCCAAGTTGTATGACATTCCTCACTATCATGCTCAACAGAGTCCAGCTCTGTGGGCCGTATGATTTCCCAAGTACGTTCAGAGCCAGAATCATAAGAGCCTGAAGCGCATCAATGCTCGTGTGCTCAAAGGCATAGAGCAAAATTTTCTGTTTCGAGGTGGTATGGTATTGCTCTCGCCACTTAGGGGTTAAACTCTGATCTTTGTAAAACCGTAGTGTTGTCTGCACAATGGCTTGCAGAAGAATACGATCAGCTTCATGACATACGGAAGATCCAAATAATCTATCAAGTGTTGCCTTTCGATCAAGAATCGGACACCAGGGATTGACATGCTTGAAATACAAGTCAACAATCGTGTATAGGGTATCTTGCGGTGGTAAATCTATTTCTGTAGGAGCTTCATGCATTCCTCCTGCAGTTAGGCCAATAGTACTAGAAGACCTAGGAGTGTTCGTGCTCTCTCGAGCATTCACATTCATCAGAGATTGCACCGAGATCGATCCAGAGGGCCGGGAACACTGCGTTCTCTCGTATCCCGCTCTGTCGATATGCCGATTCTCCATACTCGCCGACGGCTCTTGTGACGAAGTGTCTGTTGGTGCTGAGCGACGAAGCTCAGAATCCGGGGTGAATCCACCCTGATTCGCTGCCAGATGAGATGGGGGAGGGGCTTGTGATTGCTGTTCTGATTCATGCTCAATAATGTGGAGCTCTAGCCGCCGACCCAACAATTGTAACATGGCCTCAAGTCTGTTGATCTTCTGCTCGAGCTCGCGGCCATATCCAGCTCGAAACCCAGGTCGCTGCCTCTCTTTGTAAATGCAAACGCGGCCGTTGCGAGTGCACCAACCGCAGCTGGGCTCTGCGCGGTCGCATTTAACTTTTCGTGTTCGGCAAAGCTCACAGCTCCTGCGCATACAAAGGAGCAAACCCTCACGGGATCAGTTCTAATAAGTTCTGGGAGAGAGAGAGAGTATTCAAGACTAACGTATCTTAAATGAACATACGTACGTTGTTATAGGTAGTCGTTTCCTCTTCCTCGAGTCATCCTCTTGTCCTTCTTGGCTGCTCTCGCCTTGGTAGTCACCAGCACTTCCATCTTCTGATACATAACTCCGGCCCGGCTGTCGTTCACTGTTGTTCTCCATTTTATTTTGGCGCAAGGCTGATGTATTTTCGTATAACTTCTATCCAGCACCAAGACAGCCGTGTGCCACTGACACTGCATAATACTTTCTTCGTCGTGCGGAGCAGCTGTAAAAATTGGAGAAACCCAAAATGAGCAGGACGAAAAAATATTTGAGATCTCATGTAGCCCACCCCAACGTTCTGCACAGATAACTTGTCCACCCGAGCGTGCGGGGGACTCCTTTTCAGAACTTGAGAATTTTCGCGACGCCTAATTGGTCGTGGCAAGTGGGACATGGGGCCGGTCTATTTCTTGAATCTCTGTGGTCGTGCTGGCAGTTGCTTGACTTCAATGAATTTTTATACTTCGGGAAGCGAACATCATTCCTAAATAGTAACAAATACCAAATTAACTCCGCGAGTTTAACCTCTATCAATGTCCAATTTCATACTCCAACAAATTTTTATATCCAGGGCATACAAAAATCCAATTATCCAGATTAACCAACCCCCTCGAATCATCCTAAACTGGCATCCAAAATATAAACAATTTAAAATCAAACACGAGTGTACAAACACATGGGCGCAGGCCAATTAGTTCGAGAGCCGGGGAAAGAAACAAAACGCCAAAGAAGAAGCGAATATCCTTAACATAGCATACGGCAATAAATATAAATATAAAATGCCTGTCAAAAAGTCGCGAATAAGGAAATCTCGGAGGTCGCCTTTGGCTCTTCGCGAATAGCGAATAGGAGATTCACGATTAGCACCCCTAGTCAATAGTCGGAAATTAATAAAACCGTGAAGAATATCGTCGGGGCGATGAGGCGAGGCAGGAAGTCTGCCGAAATTAAATGAAAGGGGTGGAGTTTTCATGTAGCAATTTTGATATAGCCTTATCTATTCTGGTTTCTTCCTTCGTGTTTTCATGTTCAACAGACTTCTTCTCAGCTTCGAGAAGCCGTCTCATGGCGGCTGGAGTCCTACTTGTAGTGCGCGCGGCAGAAATGGAGTTTAACTTTTTGGTAGGTCGGTTGAGCTTCGTGTTGCCTTGCGATTGCGCCTGGGACGGAGTTTGAACTACGTATTTCTGAGTCTTCTGGTTTGCGGTAGCTACTCTCGTTTTTGCGGCGGCCTTTGGCCTTGGTCGAAGTTTTGTTTTCTTAGTTGGAGCTGATTTGGCTTTGGCGGTGGTGGTCGTTTTGGTTTTGGGTTTCGCTTTCGTTTTCGCCTTCTTGGTTGAATTAGTGGCTGAGCGGGCGCCAGCTGCAGCCTTTTTAATGCCCGCCTTGAGTGATTTTGATACTGGCTTGAGAACCTTTCTCCTTTTGTTCAGGCGGGACGTAGAGGATTCGTCTAGGACTTTCTCCTGTTTCCGCTTCTTGCCTGCCACCGTTTTTGAAGCGGACATCTTCTTTGGGTTTTTGGACAGGTTCGAATTTTCCTGTTTCTTAGAATCTTTTGGTTTGGGACCGAGCACGCCACGGCATGTCGGCGCTCCACAACGGCATTCTTGTACGTTCTTTTGAGAATAGGGACTGGCAAAGGAGTATGACAGTCAGTAAAGAATCAAACGTGGGGCAAGGTGAAGGGGGCTATACTCAAAGTTATAATCGTAGGTCAGCTCTTCCCCTGTCATAATCCCATGTTCGCCAGCGAAGAGAGCCATACGCGGCTTTCCGGCAACTGTCCACTTCTCTATCTTACAGTTCGGTTCGCAGGAATGATTAACGAAGCGGGCAATGGAGCCTCGGGTGGCATCGATAATCATATTCCGATCAAAGTACATAAGATAATAGCACTAAATAAACCCAGGAAGTCAGTATCCAGAAAAATATATTCCCCCTTGAGGTAAGCAAGGAGGGGGGGGGGGGGAAACCTCATTATTTTATACACCGTCCTCATCCTCCTCTCACACTCCTCTTGCGTGACAATCTCCCCCGTATACTCCACAATTATCTGGTTAGGCGCAAAAGTCCGATTGCTGCGTACTCCATATCCACGGTCCGCTGTTTTAATCACCTCAACGCCGATGTTATATTTGCCACCCAACTTACTGCGCTGGCGCAGACCTTCGAAATTTCGATTGCCACATAGTTCAGCACCTAGCTTGCAGTTGTTGTCATCACATTCATAAAACATGTACCGATTTTGGCAGTTCTCATCACAGCCTGACTCAGGGGTGCACATGCATGTAGAGCATTCGCCAAGCTTTATTGCTTTCCATATACAAGCTGCATCGCCGACGAATACATCTAGTCGTCCACAATTAGCGACTAGGACACGAAGAAAGAGTGGGGGAGCAACATACTCTTATTAGTCTTCCGCCACTCATCTGGTTTCGGCTGGCCAGGGGGAAGCGGCGAGAATATATCAAAGGGCAATTTGAAATCTCTCCCATCCTCAATCAACCTCTCTCCTGCAAACATGGGCAAGGGGAAGACTTTCTTTCGCTCCTCTGCATTCTTCTTGGCGAATTTAATTCTGTTCTTCTCTTCTGTAAGCCTGGGGTCAAAGTATCGATCCTGCCCCGCATATAGTCCATGTGAAAGCCACTTCTTTCTCTTATATGGGACAGTTTTAGGTTTGGGTGGCTGCGTATCATTATCACCAACAGTAGTACTGTCTGACGACTTCTTCGAAGCTACTGCGTCACCCTCGGAAACCCGTCGCTTTTTCAAAACCGGGCCATCCGCCGTAGATGTAGGTGTAGTTGAAGGAGTAGAGGTCTCACAAACGACATTTCTCGGCCGTAAACTGGCCCGTCTGTTAATGACCTTCAATCTATCTTTACCCTTTAACATAGCCTCCCGTGATCTCTTCCCAAGCACCGTCGAAGCCCTCCCAACCATCTCACTCGTTTTCTCCAACATGACCAAACGCGACGAACGTCTCCGCGCCCTATCCTCACTGCCATCTTTTTTCTTGATTTCCAAGGTATTTTTTCCGAGCTCATCATTGCTCAAGTGCTCCTCCTCCTTCGCGACATTCTCCGCCTGGCCCTCCCTCTCAACTTCCACACCACCCGCAACCTCAGGATGATCCAGCGGATTTGAACGCAACGGATGACGCGTAACTCTTTCATCGTCATCGCTCATGATAAGTCCCCTCTCCTCCCTCACTGCGCCCCCTGCCGCCATCATCAGCGACGAACGCGTGACGCGTCGAGAACGTCGCTCTGTTGCCGGAGTCACCTCCAAGCCAGCTTTCTCCAACTCCAACGCAGCAGCATCATTCATACTAGAAGATTCAGACTGGCTCGTCGCGGGCGTTAGGAGGTGATGTTCAGTGGAAATCGACGTCGTTTTGGAGTCCAGGGCTGAGGAGGGTGTGGAGGAAGGGGATGTACCGGACGACCGCGAGAGACGCGCCATCGTTTGATTTTGGTAAGTGTACTTTCCTCCTGGGGTGGAAACGAAGCGGACGGAACCGCGTGCGAGAGGAAAGGGATTTGTTTTCGATTTGAACGGAGGGGGGAGAAATTGAGGAGGTATACGCGTTTATAGCTGAGGTTGGTGTGTGCGGAACGGGCCGCGGCGCTAAACGCGGAGATAAAACTTAATTACGCGTGGAGATCCAATTGTTGGAACGCGTTTGGGGATTGTTCAAATGAGTAAAATAAAGGGTGAGAGTAGAGCGACCATGAGAACTGGGAAAAAAAGATATTTAGGTGGATTACTGCTTGTTGTAGTGGCGGTGGTTGTGGGCAGCTGAAGAGGGTGTGTTGCTTTGCTTGTTGGTCAGGGCCCATGCATGCAGAGACGAGACGGGGTGGATAAAGGCCGCCATCCTTAAATTACGATACCCTAGGCCATATGTCGTCCTCCCTTTCTTTGTGTAGCTAATACTGTCTTTACGATTTCATGCTCTTTTTACTTTCGTTTTCTTCTACTCAAGACAAAAACAGGAGCATCTAAGAAAACTATGTCGTGTTCAAATATTTGGGGTTAAGTGGTGGGGTATTATGGGTATTCTTGAGACGTAGAAATTCTAAAGGGACAAAATGAATCTATGGATGCAGTGCAGCTAGTACATCTTTCGGTCAGGGGAGAATTTCAGGCGCCGAAAAAAAGTAAACAAATACTCAGAACGAAGTTGGTGAGGAGGGGGAAAATTAACAGCAAACTTCCAACTCCAAATCGACATCCCCGGAGTTAGATCAAAGAGTAACGAACTCACTCGGTGAGGGGCGAATGAATTTGGAAGCAAAAGGACAGACATGCATCAAGCAACAGGGGCATGGAGCCTAATTAATTTGACTCTACAAACGCCATCAAACATCTCGCTCATATCGAACGTTAGGGAAAAACAATTGAAAGAAAATGGGAATAGGTGGGGTCAAATGATTAAGACCAGTTGGTATAAGAAAGGAAAAAGGCCCAGGGAGAGAATAAAAATATAAAGTACAGGGAAGGAGAATCGCAAAAAGTGAATAATAATAATAATAATAATAAGGATGATGAATGATAATACTAATAAAGGGAAGGAAGGGTTGGCTCACGTCAGTGACGTTGCGCACGTATCACGGAATTCTGTGGCACGGCGAATGAAGGTAATGAGTGATATGAGAAAAAAAGGGTGGGTTTTCAATACCAATGAATCAACCATTGGTGAGTTTATTAGAGGCAGGTCCGTTAGAAACTCCCTGTAGTTCCATTTCTTCGCCAGCCTGTGCCTCCAGATCACGTCCTCTGTTCTTGCGCTTCTCTGCCTCAAAGCGCTGGTCCCCTTCCTCGTACCGTTTCTTGAACTGGACATACGTTGGGGGGCGGGGTCGCAAGAGCACGGTGATCCAATTTCTGATAATGTTGCCCTGGGTGAATGGTCTGTGTCGATCCTCCTTGGGGAACTTGTGGGAATTAAGGTATTCCCGGGTCGTTTCGCCCCTACCCATTAAGAAGAAGTGATATGCCCAAAGCGATGCAGGGTAGGGTGCTGCGAGGAGACCATATAAAAACATGGCAAATGGAGTTCGGCATTTGGAAATGGCTTCCCCGAACGAAATTCCCTCCTGGCTACG